ATCTATCGAGGATTCAGCATTAGGGCATTCGGCTTAAAAGTAGTCACACAAGCTACACGCACACTGGTAACGAAGAGGCAATAGACAGCAGAGATATACCCAATGATTCCAACGTTTAGAAATAACGAATAGGATATTAACTGCCGAAAATCCTAATACAAATACAACAAGTTTTCGAGACTCGAATACTTGCTCGTACATAAATAGTCGTTTATCATTTCTCAAAACTTTGAAGAACAATCTTAGGGAACGATTTTTTTGATTTTATAGATATCAGATTCAACTCCAAGTCTGCAGCGAGGTGTGATCTCACTATTGGAAGCTCCCCACGAAGATTCTATGCTCTTGTCATATCCTTAACTATTTGGTGAACTGAATTTGCCCTATTAGACTTAGGTCTCTCGTGTGAGGATCTAAACTCCATAGGCGATATAGTGCGTCTAAGCACCAAGAAATGAAACGATTTTGTCCAAACTAGGGCGGTGTGGGATTTTAAGGAAAATAACCTCAGGCAAAACGAACCGACAGGTAAAAGGATTTGGGAGCACACAGCTGGAGGGTTGATGATCAATCAATTCAATACCGTGCACATCAGAGGTTTTCAATTATATCTGGGGCCTTGCCTCCGGACTTGCCGTGACCCTTATTGATCTTTGTTCGGGTTTACATATATATAGCTCTGTCTATCTGTCATTCAACCGAAAGGGAGGGAAGAAGTGTCCTCGTTATGATCAATCCTCTATATGTGCGCTTAGAGAATCTTACGTTTTGGTTCGTTGTGTTCAGATGAGCACTAAAACTCCACTATGGGCCACACGTATTTGGAAAGGTCGCAAGTTTTGTGCAGTATACTTTTTGGAAAGGCACGCTTTTGGGGCTTGAATTTTGGTAGCGCGCGTGTTCCTCAGGTACGAGGGACCGGCTTAAGACTCAATCTCTACACGAGAACAGATTTGTTCCGGGACTTTACTGGAGAGTACATCTTTAATATCCTCCGCTAGTATTGGAGAGAAGCCATACTGTGGCGTTCCAGTGGTGTGAAGAGAAGTGGTGGATTGAAAATCGTTAGGGTGGGAATACGCCAAAACTCTCGCACGGATTGCCCACACACACCACTCTTTTCGAGGCGCTCTCGGGGCTGGCGCAGTCATCCCGCCAAACCTCATCGCAGTGCCGCTTGGGCACTAATTTGCGGGGCTTGTTTGTTGGGGTTCGGTTTTTTTGGGCAGGGGACCCATCTGAATTTCATTGGCTATGGGGGGAGCGGTTCTGTGGGGGGGGTTGTGGTGGTGAGGCGATAAGTCAAATTGGGGGTTCGTGGAGAATGGAAGCTACGCGAGCGAGAGGGGTGGGGTGGTGGGAGGGGCGTGGTGTGTGTGTGGAGGAGTGGGCCCGGCTGCTGGGGAGTGAGTGGGCGGGGAACGGGCGTGTCAGGAGGTGGAGATGGGAAAGGAAAACCTAAGTAATTTGTTTTCTTGGAGTGTTCACGGACACGAATCTTTCTTTATAGGTTCTGGCTTTTCCATCCGGCTCCGTCCACGGCAATTTTTGAATTATTTTTCTTTATCTCTACCTCAAAGCCAATGGTTGACCCACCAATATACCTTTGGGGGCCATTGTTCTTGGCACCCTTTAAACAATCCCCAACATATTTGTTGAAATGTATCCCAACATCTTGGGGGAGGGGCCACCAATTATTTGGTAGGTTTCGGCCCAAGTAATTGCTTTTGAACCTTTTGACCCACACATTTGTAAAAAGTGGGTTGTTTCTCTCTCCTGGTTCACTTTCTCTAGCTCATAATAGATCACTATACATGGTAGATTTTGTGATTCCGTGGCACAATGGGAGAAGGAGCCGCTCTATTTAGGGATAGGACATTGAGATTCGAGTGGATGATTCCATCTTCTAAATACTAAACTAGAATTTGAGAGCTCCTGAACCCCTAAAATGAACCACTACAGTGAGGATCTTTAAGCAAGAAAGATCAAAAATCTGCTTGTTGTAGTTCTTGTTAACGAAAGCTTTTTCCACCCAACATTGTGGGTCTCCTATCTTCGAAAGGGGGCGCAAGACCAAGCTGAGGCCCAAAAACCCACTCTGAATCCTATTACACCTCAGCCAAGTTCACCTTGTAGTACTTCCATGTTTGCATGGTACCAATTTCAAAATTAATGAGGTCTTACTTCATTACATTCCTTCCACTCAGAAATTTTATGTATTTCCAGAGGGGGGCCTATACTATTTATTTATTAGGTGCTGGAGAGCGTGAAATCTTCTTGAACACTTTACATCTTATTACACGTTACACGCCTAAATTAATTCTCACCTTTTCTTTCCACACAGCTCACATTTTTTTGGCCCATATTTAAAGACCAAACCTTCACCCCAAGTCCTTTACGTTTATAATGGGGTTAGAAAAAACAATATGCCATTTTTTGAGCTCCCATTAAACGCATGTAGTCCTTCTTACATTTTCTCCTTCAACACTACACTCTTATGCTTCTATATATTCGTCAATAAATAGTCTACTATCAACTCTTATTCTACACCAACCAACCTACACACCACACCCTCACAACATGCTCAAGTTCTCTCATGAAAGCAAATGCAAAGTCTAAACTATTGGAGGGCCTTTACTTTACACAAAGCTTTGTAGAGCAAACCATTTTTTTCTTTCCTCTAATGGCCAAAGGTACCGCAGAGTTGCGTTTTGGGTTTTTCAAGGTTGATAAGCAACATTTCCTCTTTCTTTTAAGCTTATTTTATGTATCCTTCTACAGTGCCATACTATTAATGTCTTTCCAATATTTGGGCTTCGAACTAACTGGAAAATATATATGTATTATTTTCAATTGATTCTTTTATTTACATGCGATTCCCTTCCAATGTTTAGGGTCCACTAGCTACCACTTGCTAAATTACCCTTCTTATTCTCCAACTGTGTGCCCTAAGATTTCTTGCTAGTTCACACACTCTCTTCTTGGCCTACGTGTAAAACTGTTTTGAGGCTCTGTCATATAAGAACTAGAGATAAAAGTGGCTTCAATTTATAGCGATCTTATTCAAGATATATTTTGAAGGGCCCAATTTCACTGTTTGAGAAGTTGGACGATCCATTGGTGAGTCCACTTATGGGATCCTGCTTATCTACTTTAAGTCTCTCTTGTGTTTGGCGCTCTATTATTTCTTTTTTGTCTCAGTGATTTAGTTAGGCCCCTTGTTGATTATAGATTTATGGGGCTCCTTTGTACATACACTTGCTAAAATTTAGTCAATATGTTTTCTTCGTATATCTTCTTCTTGCACTGTTTGATTTTTTAAGGTTCTACTTTTGCTCTGTTCTGCACTGGGGTAGTCCGTTTTTCTCTCGTCTCTCTGTGTGTTACTCCTTCTCTTTTAGGCTCCCTTCTTATTTTCTGCATAAGTAGCTTCTTAGGGCTTTTGCATGTTGCACTGTTTTTGCGGTTCATGTTCGATAACTAACTCTGTAAATTCCTCCCATGCTTCTTAAGTCCCTCTTCTAAACATTTCGTTGAAAGGGTCCTCTCTTGTTTGGAAGGCAAGAAGCGATGACTTGCTTCTTATTCTCTCCACTTTAGGGCCAATTTTTGCATATTTGGTTTAGCCCTATTTGTGTTTGACTGTTTGGTTCTTGCTTAAAACTGACATGCTTATTTTGGGACTGCTTGAAACTGTCTCACAGCTTCATGTTCAAATAATGCATGTTTTTCGTATAGCTAATAGGCCAAGTTGCGTGTATCCCTAGTTTTGCATTTCGGGTCTCATTCCGTGCATCGGGGTTCTGGCCATATGCCAATGTTTGTGGCTGTTTGGCATCTTGTTTGCTACAGAAGATTTGCATCTAGTATGCCATATTCCATGCCTTGCCATCGTCTTTGTTAGAGTGGCCAGTTCGTGCCTTAGGACTCGCGTGCAGGCGTGCACGCATCTTGAGTGTCCTTCATTTTCATCTAAATTGCCTCTTACGTGATGTGGCTGAGGTCCACTTAATGTTAGTGTAAGCCCATTATGCATTACAGATGCCATTTCATTTCATAGAGCGTATGCTAAGGTTGAATGTTGCGCATTTGTATCGCATGGTACCATCCGGTGCATTGTGTATGCCAATTTCCATAGGCAATTGTGCATCCTAGGTGTGTATACTTAGTTGCATTCATGCCACTGTTCTGCTACTATTTCATCGGTGCTTGAGGAATAGGAATAGGCCCAAAGCACACTCGTGACAACAGGTCACGTCTTTCGTACTCCAAAGGTGACGGAACGTGTCTCACTCCTTCAAAATTTTTTGTGTTTTTAAATATTTCTATTTATTAGAATTTGAGCCCCAGCCGCCCCGACACTCCGGATTCTATACAAATGAATAAGCGTTATTAGTTTCACTTTGGCCATCACTGATAGTATAGTTTATATTCATGTGCTTCATTTCTATAAATTGTAATTGTCACAATTCGTAACTCCTCGGCCCAAAATCAATGCATCGAAGAGAAGTGATTGGTTGCACACACGTAAGGCATGCATGCATGGTAAAAACATTGCACATAGTCACTCTATATGGTTGGCACTCCCAATAGTTCAACTAGTCAAATCACAATTCCAGCTTCAAACCTACTAGGAGCTTGTCGCACGAACATCTACAAAAATATAAATTTTTAATAATATAATCACAGAGGCACTTACTCCGTGGCATCGCCGTGGATTTTTTCCACGCAAGGCAAACCAGGCCAAATGCAGTTTTATTTATTTTGTAGATACATCTAATTTAGAAACGCTTAAAAACTATAATATTTGTGTTTTTTTTTTTAAAAAAAAAGTTACCAAATACAAAAAGATATAAAAAAATACGAATTACAAACTGAAACAATTATTTTTAAAAACTCTAAACTAAACATAGTGATTTTTTTTTTTTAAATATCTAAAAAGATTCCGAAAAATTATTTCGCCTTAGGCCCTCGAAAACTCAGGCCGGCCCTGTCCAAACCTCTTTGATCCTGTCAAATACTTTACTTTTGATGCTTTTGCCGATGACTTGATCTCTCTCTTGGAGGAGATGAACTTGAAATCTTCAGTTTTTGTTGGCCACTCCATGTCTGGTATGATTGGATGTATTGCTTCCATTAAGAGGCCAGAGCTCTTCAAGAGGCACATACTTGTTGCAGCTTCACCCAGGTATATATACACACACACGACACATGTGCATATGCATATATTTGATAGGAAAAGTTCTTTGTTTTCATAATCCCGTCATTTTCTTGTTCAGTTCTTATACTTTTTACGGAAATCAATCACATAATCAGATGATTGTGTCCGATTTCATAATTAATTTATATGATGTTAGGTATTTTATTTTATTTTTATTTGTTTGGAGATGTTGTCTATCTATATAAACTCAAAGGGTATATTTGAGTGAGAAACTGAGCCGTGATAATAAAAAGTAAATTATGAGTTTAAAATTTCGTTGGGCAATATTATTTTTTAGTTTAAAAATTTAAAAATTATTAAAAAAATTAAAAAATCAATAATTTATATTAAAAAGTTAAAGATTTTATTTTCTTTTTACATTTTGTACATTTTTTTTTTGTAAAAAATCAAAAAGTCAAATCAAATATATTAATTTTTTTTTATCATATTTTAACTAAAAAACTAAAAAATTACTAAAAAAAACTTGTTCCAAAATAAGGCATAAATATCATAAAAGGATTGGTTTTTTTGGATCCATCTCAACGTCGGTGTCAAGTAATTATTCCATATATATAGAATGAAAAATGTTTGGTAACTCGAAAGTAGTTGGCTCGAAATGGCTCGAAACCTAAAATGACGTCGTTTTGGGTTCTCTTACCGGTAAGATATTTTGGCCCTGTTTAGTAGAGCTGTGGGAAAGTGCTTATAGCTTATGCCTTAACAGCTTATGACTTATAACTATGAATATAAGCTGATTTTTGACTTATAAATTAAGCTTCTCCTGCCACACTCAAAGAATAAACTGATTTCTGACTTACAAAAAATTATAAGCTACATTGTTAAGTTAAATCAAACACATCAAAATAGCATAAATTAAGCTGAAAGCTGAAATAAGCTGAAAAAAAGCTGTACCAAACATGGCCATTAAAATTCTCTTATCGGTAAAATAATTTTCATTAAAAACCCCTTTGTAAAACAAAACTACCGTCCCAAAACGACGTCGTTTTGAATTCGGAGCAAATTCGAGTTTCGAAAATTTCGGACTACGTATCACAATTGTGAACTACATGTATCCGAGATTAATTGAGGCCAAATCTCAAGTACTCTTGGGAGTATTTGTTTGGGGATTAGAGCGTGGGATATGACTCTATGTCTATTACATATGGTAGCTTGATATTTGGTTTAAAAAATATAAGTTGGATTAATATTTCAATTGGAATATCAATATCTTATTTGTGGGATCATTGTGTCCCATGGGACTTGGTATAAAAATGGTGGGATAACTCCTCCTTTGGATTAAAAGGTTAAAATGACATTTTTGACCCTCATTTTTTGTCCTCAATTTATTATTATTATTTTTAATTATACTTAGTAAAGTAAAATGAAATTTAAAAATCTCAACTAAAAATTAATAAATTAACAGTGCAATGGATTATAATCTCCCTTGAAAAGTTCATTTTATTTAATTAAAAATAAAATTAAAAGTTCAATTTATTTAAAAGTTCAAATTAAAATAAAATTAAAAAATCTCAACTAAAAATTAAAATAAATTTATATAATTTTTATTGATATTCTATTTATTTAATTTTTTAAAAGTTTTAGTAAAAAAATTAAATAAAATAGGATATACATCGGATTCAATAGAACAGTCCAATTCAAACATCTAATTTCATGACTAAACAAAAATAAGATTCAATAGAATAGTCCAATCCAGACATCTAATCACATGACTAAACAAGCATATGATACAAATTCAGTCAAATCAAATAGTCCAGGGATAATATATCTCAGGACTAACAGTTCGATGGATTATAATCCCTCCTTATCCAATCCATCCAAACAAACACACACTACAATATATATATTTGGGGAACTTACGTGTAGGTTCTAATAGGTGGACTTATTATTTAATAGGTCTTGTGAAAATTAATGATATTTTTCAGTAAATACTATTAAAAAAACATTACTAATTGTTAATTTTCAGCGATAGTTTGAAAAAAATTTCACAAAAACGGTCACTAATTATAAGTTTTAACGACAATTTAAAAAAATCATTTACAAAAGTCACTAATTTTTAACTTTCAGTTACAGTTTGAAAAATTCGTCACAGAAAAACATTACTAATTGTAAGTTTTAACGACAATTTATAAAAACAGTAACAAAAAAAAATCACTAATTGTCAATTTTTAACGATATATGTAAAAATCGTCACAAAAAATTATTTTTAACGACAATTTTACTATGAATTATTTTCAATAGAACTTGATGGGAATTAAATCAAACTGTTTACTATGAATTATTTTCAATAGAACTTGATGGAAATTAAGTCAAACTATTAAGACTTACTGATAATTTACCCTATATGTGTGTGTATATGTGTGTGTGTGTTTTTTTTTTTCTTTTTCTTTTTTAATGTATGTGTGTTCAAAATTGGACAATTGCATGTTTACTTGTGGTGTTATATGTTGGCTTTTTGGACCATATTTCCCCATGTCCTTCTCTTTCTTTTTTATTGTTTATTTATTTTGGCTGAGAAATATCCCCTGATTGTATTTCAAAATCTTTGTTATTTGTTTTCAGAATAATAATATAATCTAGTGTTCGGTTCACTAAAATGATTTTAGACAAAATGTAATGGTGATTAGTTTTTAGTCTCATTGTTAGATTGATGGATAATAATTCTATTTTTTTTACATAATCAAATATGAGAATAAATACTTAATAAAACAATTATTTTATTTGATTCTCTTTTCAGCAAATCAAATATTATGATTCAGATTACTAAAAGTATGTATTTATTTAGGTATGTGCCTGTGGACCGAGTTTACAACATGTGATAAAATGTACCTCATTTATTATATGGTCTAAATCGTGCATATGAAAGATGAAAAAAGATGGGATGGCATATCAGTACGGGTTCCTTTGTCTTATACCATTGTAATTTTATCACCCAAATGCATCACAATTTCATTTAGAGACATTTGACATTTGAAATACTTTAGACATTTGACATAATTTCATTACAACACATTAGGTATTTTGTCTCATCTTATTTTAACTAATTATATTTACAGATTCTTTGAGGCTATGGAAATTAATTTAAGAAGGAGAGAATGTTGTTGGAATATATATTTGGCAAAGTAATTCAGAAAATAAAAAGTACATTTTTTTATGTATTTTTACTAGACAAAATACCTTTTAGTGTTGGGGTTGCCCTTAGGACTTAAATCTCCAACATGATGAAGTTACCCTTGAAAACCCCAACCTTTGGAAGAAGTTCTCAATTTCATTCAGTAAAATGTTCATAAACAGATTTTTTATTAGAATATTTTTTTATTATGGTTAAACACAAAATAATAGATCCTATATTTATTAATGTGGGTCTTATTATCTTGTACTGGGGACAAGAAATTAATAATAATAATAATAATCTAAAGTAACTGTAACACGTAAAGTAAATATTAGGCATAAAAGTGAAACCATGGAATTATATCACCAACCAGTAATAAATTTCATTTTGGGATGAAGGAATTATATGATTAGGATTAATGAAAAACAAATGGTGTCCATTAACTGATCCCATTTGCCTTTTTCAACTATAGCTTTTTTCTATTGATTTTTTCCGATTGTATTCATTGTACTTATATTTTACATCAATAAATTTTCTTTTCTTGATAAAAAAATGCAAAAATACAAAAACACCTCACCCCATTTGTAATTTTTTATTATTTAATAATACCACGTAAAATTATACCACTATTAGACTTAGGCCTTGTTTGGAAAAATAGAGTTTTCAGTTAAAAATTTTTAAAAAGCATTATAAATTATCCAATTATTCTTTTTATTTTTTCCACATTTCTTTATACAAAGTCAAAAAATTAATAAAAAACCTAATTTCCAAACTAGCCCTTAATATTTATCCCACAATTCATGATTTTTTTTGATTAAAAATTTGTTAGTTTGACTTCAAATCTCATGAACGGTTAATTTTTTCCCAAGACATTGCTAATTTGATGTACCGCAAGTCAATCGTCTTGTATTGTATTGTCAATTTAGCCGAGTCTTTTCACGTGTAAAGTTCTTTTTTGTTTTAGATTGCCTTGTTTTGAGGATTTAACCGATTAATATCTCAAAAAATTGACTTGACTGGATCAAAATTTATAGCAGGTAATAATTACAACTTTATGTACCAAGTTTTCTTCATTTGTAGTGTTACTGAATTTTTTATGTTAATTCTTGTACATACTGAACTTGAAAAATATTGGTAAGTGTGAGTAGTGGGGCAAATTTAGACATTTGTTTATCACAAAATGTTGATGTGTCATAATTATTTCTTTCTTTTAATAAGATTTTGTTTATTATTTTTTTTGTGATACACTTTTATATTTGTTAAATATTAATAACATTCATGTGATATAGGTACATAAATTCAAAAACAAGTGTGTTAGTATCATTGTGTTGTAAACAAAATATGATAATAAGGTCATCTGATATCATAGATTTGTCGGCAATAAATTAATTTTACAGGGTGGGCCTATTGTAATTGCACATAGACGATAAAAAATGGTATATTTGTAGTTTTTTTTTTTTTTTTTTTCCACATATAGGTACATAAATTTGGAAGATTATGAAGGGGGATTTGAAAGCTCAGATGTTGAGCAACTCTTGTCAAGCATTGAATCCAACGTCCACCAATGGGCTTCAAGCTTTGCTTCTCGTGTTGTTGATCCAAATGACCCTACCACTGTTGATAAGTTCAAAAACTCATTGCAAAGAATGAGCCCTGAAGCTGCACTCTCCACAGCCAAACTCATCTTCCACAGTGACAAAAGAGACATGCTTGAAAAGGTTATGATCCCATGCACCATCATCCAGAGCACCAATGATCTTGCCGTCCCCACCTCCGTCGGATACTTCATGCAAAAGAAGATCAAGGCCAAATCAACGGTGGAGATCATCGACACAAATGGCCATTTTCCTCAGCTAACTGCACATCTTCAACTCCTGGAGGTGTTGGGTGGAGTTCTTGGTTTGAGCTTTGATTTCGGTTAAGTAGAGAAGAGGGTGTTTTTAGCTTTCTCCTAAATAAAAGCCAATTCAACAATGATTCATCCCACTAAAAACACCACCACTAATAGCACTAATGCATTAAAAAAGTAAAAAAAAAAAAAAAAAATACAACTCCAAGACCAAAACATCACATCATTAATGGCGGGACCCACTGTCACCTAATTAGTGGGAGCACTAATTAGTGCTCCCAAGCATTTTTCGTATCCCAAACTGCAATTAAATAACTTTTCCATAGTTAATATTTAGATGTAACAAAGCTATTTTGGATTGTAAATATGGAACTTTGTGGATTGAAATTACTAGTTTTGGGATGAATAATTGGATGCTTAATGTTCATTGGATTGGATTATAAAAGTTCATCTCCTATTCCCCCTGCTTAGATAGCTGGGTGTTTGTTTGTTTGTTTTTTTCTTTTTCTTTTTTTTAGGTATGTGTATCAGTAATATTAGAGATTAATAACTGATGCAGAGAAAAAAATATTAAGAAAAGTTGTGTGATTCAAATTTAACTCTTGTATAATAGAGTCCACACTAATTCAAATAAATTTATATCACATATTACTTTTTTTGGTATTTTTCAGTATCTAAATTCCTGTTCCCTTTACTCTATGCCTAGTGAAAAGGCCCCAAATTACAACAAAAGAAAAAGGAGGGGGGCGGGGGGTCTTTCAAAATTAACTCTCTTTTTTTTTAATTTCTCTTTTTTCTTTTCTTTCTCACTAGATTTAAAATTCAAACACAATTCAGATATGTAACTTGAAAAAATTATTCAAAAAAGAGCAAAAAAATTAATGTGTAATATAGATTTAAACTTGGTATTATGGTATTGTGTGAAGCACGGATGAAATTGATCCATTAATTTCAATTTCTGAACACTTCTTTAAAATATATATATATATATAGCCTTATGTTGTACTCTATAATGGGCCAACATATATTTTGTAGCCAAGCCCAGTCTACCGAGCCTTTGCCTGTTCCCAGCAATTACTAATTATCCAGGAATTCTATTTAAATTCAAAATATATTTTGATACGTTCAATTTAAATTTATAAATTTTAATTGCTAATATATGTTAATATGAATTTATTAATAAAGATAATACATACTAAATTCCAAAATAATTTTTTTTCTTCTCATGGTACACTCTAATCAGTTATTCCTACTCAAATCTTTGTATCTTTTTCCCCAAGATATCAGAATTATTTCTTCTTCTTCTTCTTCTTCTTCTTCTTTATCCTCCCTCCAAAACTCCAATCCACCCTACCAAAACTCATCATCATCATCAATATCATCGTTTTTTATTATTTTGAAATTCTAAACCCTAAAAGAAAGTTTGAATAAAATTAAATAATGGATGAAAGTAATAATTAAAATAATTTTTTGAAGCAACCCATCAAAAAAGAAGTAAGTATTCATATAAAGGAGTTTCATAATTTTTGTGGAGCATCATCAATTATTTTTTATATCCTTTTTTTGACAAAAATTAAAAGATCGAATAGTTAGATTAACAATAACATATTATTGGAGTTGTTCTTATTTTGTCATTTAAATAGTACATTATTTGAGAATTACTCTTTCTTGTTAGTGTCTGATGTTTATGTACTTGTAAGTGTGATTTTTATTTTTTCACGAACATTCTTGTGGATAATTTATAATGTAAAAGTGTTTTTTTTTTCTGTATTGAAAAGTTTTTATAATGCTTATGTAAAAGTTTGATTTTTTCTGTATTTATAATGCATATGTGCTTGTAAATTTGATTTTTTTTCTTTTGTACCCACCTGCCACTCGCCACCACCACCACCACCACCACCACCACCACCACCATCCCCCACCCACCCCCCACCACCTGCCACCGTCACCCACCCATCCACCATCACCACCCGCTACCACCTACCACCACCCGCTACCTACCTGCCACCACCACCTACTCGCTATCACCCACCACCCATCACTACCACCACCTACCATCCGCCACTCACCTGCCACCACCACCCACCACCTGCCGCCACCACCACCACTCACTCGCTACCACCCACCACCCGCCACCGTCACCCACCCGCCACCACCCACCACCACCCGATACCTACCACCCACCGTCACCACTTTCCATCATCGTCTTCCGCCGCCACTTTTCACCACTTTCCATTTCTCACTCTTTTTTATATTTTTTAAATATTTTGTCAATTACCAAACGCATTTGTAGTTTATGTTTTCCTAAAAATAAACAAAAAATAAACAAAAAATAGTTTATAAAATTTTTGTAAATATAAACTGAAAACGTAAACGTTACCAAACAGACCCTAAATTGTCCAGGAATTCTATTTGAATCCAAAATATATTTTAGTAGGTTCAATTTAAATTCATAAATTTTAATTGCTAATATATCTTAATATGAATTTATTAATAAAGATAATACATATTAAATTCCAAAATAATTTTTTTCTTCTCATGGTACACCCTAATCAGTTATTCCTACTCAAATTTATGTATCTTCTTTCCCAAGATATCAGAATTATTTCTTCTTCTTCTTCTTCTTCTTCTTCTTTATCCCCCCTCCAAAACTCCAATCCACCCTACCAAAACTCATCATCATCATCAATATCATCGTTTTTTATTATTTTGAAACTCTAAACCCTAAAAGAAAGTTTGAATAAAATTAAATAATTGATGAAAGTAATAATTAAAATAGTTTTTTGAAGCAACCCATCAAAAAGGAGGTAAATATTCATATAAAGGGGTTGCACAATTTTTGTAGAGCACCATCAATTATTTTCTATATCGTTTTTTGGACAAAAATCAAAAGGCCCACTAATTAAATTAACAATAACATATTATTGGAGTTGTTCTTATTTTGTCATTTAAATAGTACATTATTTGAGAATTACTCTTTCTTGTTAGTGTCTGATGCTTATGTACTTGTAAGTGTGATTTTTATTTTTTCACGAACATTTTTGTGAATAATTTATAATGTAAAAGTGTTTTTTTATATTGAAAAGTTTTATAATACTTATGTAAAAGTTTGCCTTTTTTTTTCTCTGTATTCCTTTTTTTTTTTTTTTTTGAGAATTATATTTTGTATTGAAAAGATTTGAAATATTTATTTTTTTTAGTTTGTTTATTATTTATTATTTATTAGTTGGGTTTACTTTGAGGGTAATTTAGGAAAAATAATAGTGCGTAATGAGAGTAAAATAAAATTTCAAATAATTAAATAGGGTGTACTTAAAAATTTGGAGTACTTAATGATTTTTTGAGTGTAAATAGAATCCCTCTAATTGTTAAGAGCCTTATTTGGTGATAAATCTAATTTAAGGAGGGTATAAGACATTAAGTGGATATTTTTTTTTTTGTTGTTGTTGACGAGAGGTCCACACTTTATGAAATAGTTTGGTAAGAAGTCTAGAAGAACATTTTGTTTTCAATTTTATCTCTTGACTTTTTTTTATCTATTTGACTTTTCGTTGACTATCTGTTGAATTTTTTTTTATCTTTTCAAATTCCTATCTGTTTAAACTTTTTATCTGTTAATTTTTTTTATCTGTTCAAATTTTTTATTTGTTGAAATTTCTATCTGTTTAATTTTTTTTATCTGTTCAAATTTTTTATTTATTGAAATTTTCTACCTGTTCGTTTTTTTATCTGTTCAAACAACAGATCACCAACACCATCATCCTCCTCATTGAGTCCACTAAACCTTATTTGTTCAAATATATATATATATATATATATATATTTTTTCCTATATGTTCAGATCTCTCCTCTCTCTCCCTTTCTATTGCAATGTGCTTCTTTTTCACCATCATCAAAAAAAAAAAAATCAAACATATGTTCAAATCTCTTCTCTCTCTCTCTCTGTGTGTTACAATCTGCTTCTTTATCATCATCATCATCATCATCATCAAAAACAACAAATCATATTTGTTCATCAACAGCAACATAATCACCAAATCCTATCTATTCATCATCATCATCATCATAAAAAAAAAAATAATAAATAAATAAATAAACAAATTTGTATGTGCTTCTTCCAAGTATTTCTTCGACTACTTCACCACACCCTTCGACCTCTTGATCATCATTTTGGACATCCTTAGGTTCAAGCTTAAATGCATGTTTTACTTAAGGATGGTCTAAAGTGACTATCTCAAGGACATTCCTCGATAGCCAAAAAAAAAACCTAAATAGGAGCTGCAAAATGGCACACACCGTCAAATGGCAACATTTATTACCATCGTAATAAGAGCTTCTTCTTAGTGAAGCTGTTGGAATCCTTTTTCTCTCTCCCTATCTGTTGAGCCAAATCTATCTAATGCAATTACAGATCTCATCAACAACATTCATTATCATCAATAACAACAATAACAACAATAATCAATCAATAACAACAAAAATATATAAATAAATAAAATAAAAAGAGCAGGAGAGAGGATTCATTTGTTTAAAAAAAAAATCACTTTGCTTGGTTTGAATTTTCTAAAAACACTTTTTAAAAAAATACTACTTTCTTATTTTTCGTATTTTTTTATTTTTATTGAATTTTTTTTATATGTTAAGCAATTTTTTTTTTAATTTTTAAACACACCTAACATAAATACACTTAAAAAGTATAATTTTCATGAAAAAAAATCTTTAAAATTTCACTAAATACCAAAAATATAATTAAAAAAAATGAAAATTCAGTACATTTTTCGTATTTTGTGTATTTCTTAAATTTTCAAAATATTTTTTTACAAATATTTTTACTTTTTAGACACATCTAAGTAAGTTGCATCTAAAAAGTAAAAAAAAAAATACTTAAAATTTTAAAAATAGTCATTAAAAACAAAAAAAACATGAAAAATAAAAAAACTCAATTTTTAAAAAACTTAATTCAAAAAACCCAAACCAAACACACTATAGAACTCTAATCTAAGATGCAAAAGAGAGATGGTTTGTGTTGCGGTGATGGTTGGATAAGGAAGAGAAGGGAGCAGATCTGGATCAAATCTTAGATCTCAA